TAAGGATATCCTTCAAAAATAAATATATTTAATTTATAAGAAATTAAAAATTAATTAATTTTTTGTAAAAATTAAAATTTGGATTTTAATAAGGTTTTTAATTAATAATTTCTAAGCTAAGTTTTTTGGCTTAATTAAATATTTTTTTAAAATAAAATTATTTTTTCAATATTTTTTCTCTATTTCTCAAATGTAAGAGCGTCATAATATTATTTGACAGAAATATTTTTTTTGTTTTTAGAAAAAATAAAAATTCCATAAATAAATATATTATAAATATTCCTTTTAAATTAGAAAATTTTTTTTGCAATTTTTTCTATTAAAAGTTTCGTTTTCTGTAAATATTTAAAAGTATTTATTATACATATTTATGTAGTTATTTTTTTTTAATTTAATAAAAATAAATTAAAAATGAAATTAAATATTTATTTAATAATTTTTATTTTTCTAATTGTTTTGATAAATAAAAGAGAATCTGCTAAAATTAAACAAAAAAATTCCCAATTAAAAAATAATTTAACTTTGGCCGAATTAAGCAATAAATTTCTCGTTGATAAAATATTAGAAGAAAAATTAAGAAGCACAAACCAAAATTTTGGTAATTTAAGTAGAAGTTTATTGGATAACAAGGTTTGTTTTGAACAAATAATGTAATTTTACCTTCAAATATTTAATAACTAAATAGATACCTATATTTAAATTTCAATGCCCCGAAATAAAAAATTATTTGTAGTATATTTTATGAATAGTTAAATTAACTTTAAATTTACTCTGTAAGTGAAAGTCAGCATTTTTTTTTTGGTTGTCACAAAAAAGGCATTTAGAAAATTCAGACTCTTGAGAATTTAATAATTATTGTAGTTTTATTAATAATTTTATAAATTTTAACCGTCGGGTATCATCGGCAACTAAAATTACTAAATATTTCTACTAAACTTTTGACATATAAACTGTCTCGAGTCTTGATCTTCGAATGTAGTCTTAGCCTTAAGTCTTTTAAAATTTTCCTTCTTGGAAATCTAAATACTACATATATTTTATAGACTATTTAGGAAAGACATTTTTAAATAAAAATGAATTATTTAAAATAAAAATATTTGCATATTTATTAAATTAAATATTTAATTCCACATATATTTACCTAATTCTGATATATTTCCGCCTAATCTGCTTAAAATTGTATTTTATTTTTTTAATATTAGGCAACAAGAATATTTTCTATTATTAAATAAAAATTTTTTTGTCCAATTTACAGTCACCAACTAAAAATAATTTTTTTCATATTTCTTCAAAAATTTCAGAAAATAATTTTCTTAGGTAGTGGAAACATATAAAGACAATTTTATCCGACTTAAAATATTCCCGTTAGCAGCGGCTGCCTATGGTTCTGACAAGAATATTAATGATTGCCTTTTACAAATATATCCAGATTTTCAAGTAATTATTTATTATTTAAGAAAGAATACCTAATTTTTAGTTTGTCAAGAATTGGGTAGTTACATGCCAAAAGAAAGATCATTTCTGTTCAGCTTTTATTGCTGTTTCTTTTACTGATAAAGCAATTGTTGTTTCATTTAGGTTGAAACATTTTTCTAAAATTATTTTAAATATAAAAAATAATATTTTAAGAGGTACAGACTCGTTCTGGCAATTAACACACGAAGTTTGGCAGACAATATTTAGAAAAAAAGTTCCGTCTGTTTTTGGATATGGACATGTTAGTAATTAAAGCAAGAACTTTAAATTTAGATCCCATCTTTTGATTAAATGGTGATAAAGATAAAGGAAAAGATAATATGTCCTACGAATTAGAGCTTATTCGCTTTATTTGGTTTTGGCTTTTGTGTTTAAATTAAATTTGTATTTCTTAATAATCTTTTAATTTTTTAAGGTAGCCTTTTATTTTGATGATATTTTTAATCAATTGGATAAGAAAGGCGTGACAGAAGAGATCCATTATCTACTTAGACAACATAAGCATTATGAAGTTTGGGTATTTGTAACTTTATTTTGAAAAATAAATATTAAAAAAAGATAACTGGACATTCTTTGGGTGGAGCATTGGCAGCAATAGCTGCAGCAAAATTAATTCAAAGTAAGGAAATCGGCCCTGATAAAATAAAGCTTGTAACCTTTGGCCAACCGCGTACTGGTGATAGTGGATTTGCTGCTGGTATGAGTAAAAATGTAAAATTTGAAATATTTTTTTCAAAAAATTTTTAATTAAAGTTGCCTTTCTTCAATTATCGAGTAACTAGAGCTCGAGATTTAGTTGTGCATGTACCTCCACGAACTTATGAAGATTATGCACATTATAAAACTGAAGTTATAATATAATAATTAATTAAAATATTTATTAAAGCTTCAGATTTTTTATGATAATGAAATGAAACCGGGTGCTAAATGGAAACGATGTGTTGGAGGAGATGAAGATAAAGATTGTGCAAATAGATATGGGCATGTTCTCTTCCTAATTTTTCTATTATAATTTATTTCTAGTATCTATACAATATCTGATCACACAAAATATTTTGATAAGGATGTATCAGCATACGGTTTGAGTGGATGCTATGGTGGTTGAATCTATTGAAAAGGAAAAAACTACTATTGGATAATCTTAATATTTTAAATTAAATAGTTGTTATTATTGGATTATAACTATTTATTGGATTATACATAATTTCAGCAACTCTAATTTGCTTCAAGTAATTGTATGCTGTTAAGAGCCTAAGCTGTTAAATTTCAGCAATATTTTTTACAACCCGACCCAGAAATAGATTCCATTAGAGACCTAATGACTCAGATTTTTTGACTAGGAAATCTCTTTCGCCGAAGACTATAAAAGTTTAGAAAATAAACTTAATTCCATTCTATCAATCCAAAATCAAACTTTTCCAACTTTTCTACACAAACTACTATTCTCATAATGGGCATCTATGCAGTATGTTTTTTTGTAATATTCTAGCTTAAATTAATTATTTTATTCTCCAGATTTCCAAAATTGTTGCTGTTGCTGGCGTCCTACTCAGTCTTGTGCCCGGTTTGAATATTGTTGGTTCTGTCTACTACGCGCTCGTCTTTTTGGTTCTTCGTAAACGAAATAAAGGGGCTCTCAATACTTGTATTTTCTACATGGTGATGAATTTGTTAAAATATTAAATAAAATTTTCAAATACTAGGTGCCGATCTTTATTGCCTACACTCTCTTCATAAGCAGTATTATTGGCTTCCGTGTTGTCGAACCGTACAAGAATCTCTGGAAGGATGATAACGATGCATTAGAAGTCCCAGAACATTCGACAGAAGACGTCGCGGAAAAGAATGCAACCACCAGGCCTAAACGAGAGTCGGAGGTAGTGCCGGGAACTTGTACACTTCAAGACGTTCCATTTGTGAAGAAGCTTCCTAAAAAATGGGATAAAGGTACTGATCTTGCTCGAATTATTAATATCTATTTAATTATTTAATTTCTAGTAAAAGTGTTCAAAATTGCTTGGCTTGTAGGTGTTGGCACTGGAGGCTTCAATATTTTCTATTTGTTCGTTTCCAATATTGTGTTTTTCTTCGCATATAATTTTCTGAAGAAAACGCAATAATCTAGATAATATGTAATTTAAGTTGTCTATGAGGAAAGAAAGGGACACGCCCAAAACGGCGCGCGGCCATAACGGCGCAAAGCCCTAGCTTGCTTCAGGATTTACGAATTTTATCAAATTCAGTATTAAACGATTCCGCTCAGCAAGCTAAAGAGATTGGTACGAAAATTAAGCAGGGATAGAAATTTTCCAGCAAGTTATGGCTTTGCGCCGTTATGGCCGCGCGCCGTTTTGGGCTGTACCCGGAAAGAAAATATAAAGTGTTGAATATGTAAAGGATAACAAATTATATATTGTAATTAATTGTAACTATATTTAGTAATTGTTGATTGTATGTATATGTAATCTGTAATTGAGTTTTGGATAAAATTAAATGTAGCACCTATTTAGTAATTATTCAAGTAATTTTAAAATGAAAGACTTGAGCTTTCTATCATTAAAAATATTACTTCTGATTAACAAATATTTAAAAATAAATTTTGTTTAATATTTATGTGAAATTCTTGTAATAACTTGCTAGACTAGTTTTTATAATTTTGTATGAACTTTTATTTTATAAAATTAACTTTTAAAAAAGAAAATTCACAAATTAAATAAAATTTAAATTTTAATGAAAAACTTGACTGACTACTAGTTATTTGAATTTTCTTTTTATCACTGCCAATCAGTTTATTTTATATGAGAGATAGCGACGTTTATTTGCGTCAGATATTTATGTTCTTTTGCTCTCTGAAAAATTAAGGTAATTTATTTACACATTCTCGTCTCTTTTTTAAAATTTTTTTTTAAATTTTATGACAAAGAACAGTAAAAATAAATAATTTTATTTTAATTTTATTAATTTTATTAATCAAAACTGTGAACAAAAAAACTTTTGTGAATGCAACTCTATTATTTTTATTTTTCTCTTATTTAAAAAATATTTTTATTGAATAAACATTCAAAATTTAACATTTAATTTTTTTCTTTGTTAAATTTAATGTTCATTAATTAATTATCAATTAAAAATAAACAATAAATAATTTGTCGCAGAAAAGAAAAATACAAATTTTATTCTTTCCCCAAAGAATATTTTAAAATTAATATTCTAATCTTTTAATCAATTTAATTTGACATTGAAAATTATTTTTATTAAGTAAAATATTATTATTTAATTGTTTAGAAAATTGTTTTTTTTTCTGCAAAGAAATATTTTTTTAAATAATAAAAAAAATCGTAATAAATTTCATTTCCAATTAATTTTTTATGCTACATATGTGAGCATTTTATATTTCCTTAAAGAAGTCTGTACTTTTATTTGTCCATGCTAATTAGAAAAAAAATAATATCTTTATATTTTCATTTAATTTTTCAAAATATTTTTAAAGATATTAAAATTATTTTATTATAATTAAATTAAAAAATATGCCTAATCAAAAGCAAATGGAAAATGGATTGTCTCCCCCATTAATTGAGAATGGTTATTGTAATAATTCATTAGAAAAAATCCAAAAACAAAAAAGAAAGAGAACACCGAGGGAATGGTTTAAAAAATATTTTTGGGAAGGTAAAAATAAATTAAATTAATTAAAAATAAATTACTAAAAAAAGGTCAAAAACTTCATGGAATTAGTGAAGAAGAAAAACAAATACCTCTTCCTTCTAATGCCACTTTTGAGCAAAAAATGCTTATAAAATACAAAAACTTTATTGCTTTACTTATTCCTTTTAGTGTTGCACAAGTTTTTTTTAAAATTATTTTTTTAATTTTAAAATTAAAAAAAGTTTATTTGGTGGAGTTCTGCAATTAAATACAACTTTTTTTCTCTTTATTCAACACGTAAGTGTTGAATAAATTTATTTTAAAAAATTTATTTAAAGATTGGCAAATGCCATTAACAATGGTTGTTGGTTCTATTATTGCAGGAATGACTAGTGAAGGTGGTGGGGCTGTTGCCTTCCCTGTAATTTAATTTTGATTTTAATTAAATTTATTGTCCATTAAAAAGGTGATGATTTTCATTTTGCACACAAAACCTCACACAGCACGCGATTTTAGTATTATGATTCAAGCAGTCTGTTATAAAATTCAATAAATTATTTAAATTTATTTTTAAATAGATTGGAATGACAATGGCATTTTTTGTTATTATTTTTATGAGAATTCAAATTGAGTGGAGGGCTATTATATTTGGAACTATTGGGGCTATACCTGGGGCTTTAATTGGATTTACTTTAGTTTGATATTTTAATTTTTTAATAAAATTTTGTTATATTTATTTCGAAAAACATTAGGTTTTTCAATATTTCTAAATAAATTGAATGACTAATATAGTAATTTACCTATATAGTAATTATTCCCTGATTAAGAAACGTTAAGTTTGTTACAATTCCTATAGACTTCCTTTGTGATAAACTAAATGAATATACAAATTATCGTCCCTGATTAATGTTTTTTACTAACAAATTCCTTCTTTTATTTTCCCAATAATTAAAAATAAATTATTATAATTTTTTAGATTGAACCTTTATTTAATCCCCAAACTGAAAAAATGCTTTTTGTGAGTATTTGGTCTTCATTTGCCATTTCTCTATGGATTTTAAATTGTGAAAAGAAAAGGAAAACTTTCAATACAATTGAAAATTTTTGTTTTTGGAAATGCATTATACTTATTTTGACTGGATTTATTGGCGGTATTTTAAATTTTACTGTACCTAATTTTTCTCGTTTTTATGTGTCTTTACATCTTTTGCTGGAAGCGGCGTTGATATTTGTACATTCTCAACTTTAACACTTCTTTTTAGTGTTTCTGAGAAAATAGCTACTCCAACTACCGTTGTTATTATGGGTAAACTTAAATTAAAATTAAAAAAATTTATTTTAAATTTTAATTTCAGCAATAAATTCTCAATTTTGTATTTATTGGCGCGCAATAATTATGAGCGAGCCAATTAGTCAATTAGCCTATAATTATATTAAAGTAAACTTTAATATAATAATTATTTCAAAAATGTTGTTTAAAGGTCACAGTCCCAGTAACAAGTATTTGTGCCCCAATTGGAAGTTTTCTCGGTTCACATTTCCACAGACAGGCTTGACTTTAAATTTTATTAAGTCTTCAAAATATTATTTTTAGACACTTGCCTGGCTTGTATATATTCTTGAATTGGTATTAGTTACTAAATATTTAATAATTAATTTAAAAAATTTATTAGATCTCTTATTTGGGCTTTCTATGTACAGGTCCTCCACTACAATTGGTGAGGAATTTAATTGTTTTCTATTTAAATATTTTCATTAAATAATCCAAAATCTTATCAAAAATAAATAAATTTAAAAAATAAGGTTGTTCCAAGCATTTTGATAATTGCTCTTGGATTTGGCTTCTTTCGACTAATGAGCAATTGTGGCAAACGACTTTTAACTAATAAAAATTTAGAGAATAATCTTAAAGTTGAAAGTGAGAGACTAACAAAAATAACTAAAAAGGCATCAGAAGAAAGAGTAGATATTTGAACTATTTTGTAAAATTTGAAATTATTTTGTAAATTTAAACACTTTAAAAAATAAATCTTTCGTCCTTATCAATGGAAAATTAGGTATATTTGTGATATTGGTGGAGTTTATTTGGTGGAGTTCTGCAATTAAATACAACTTTTTTTCTCTTTATTCAACACGTAAATTTTTGGATAAATTAATTTAAAAAATTTTTATTTAAAGATTGGCAAATGCCATTAACAATGGTTGTTGGTTCTATTATTGCAGGAATGACTAGTGAAGGTGGTGGGGCTGTTGCCTTCCCTGTAATTTAATTTTGATTTTAATTAAATTTATTGTCCATTAAAAAGGTGATGATTTTCATTTTGCACACAAAACCTCACACAGCACGCGATTTTAGTATTATGATTCAAGCAGTCTGTTATAAAATTCAATAAATTATTTAAATTTATTTTTAAATAGATTGGAATGACAATGGCATTTTTTGTTATTATTTTTATGAGAATTCAAATTGAGTGGAGGGCTATTATATTTGGAACTATTGGGGCTATACCTGGGGCTTTAATTGGATTTACTTTAGTTTGATATTTTAATTTTTTAATAAAATTTTGTTATATTTATTTCGAAAAACATTGGGATATTTTTAAATAAATTAAATGACTAGTAATTAATTACCTGTATAGTAATTATTCCATGATTAAAAAACGTTAAGTCTGTTACAATTCCTATAGAATTCCTTTTGTTTCCAAATAATTAAAAATAAGTATAAATCACTTTTTAGATTGAACCTTTATTTAATCCCCAAACTGAGAAAATGCTTTTTGTGAGTATCTGGTCTTCATTTGCCATTTCTCTATGGATTTTAAATTGTGAAAAGAAAAGGAAAACTTTTAATACAATTGAAAATTTTTGTTTTTGGAAATGCATTATACTTATTTTAACTGGATTTATTGGAGGTAGTTAAAATTTTTACTGTCCCTAATTTCTCCTTTTTATGTGTCTTTACATCCTTTGCTGGAAGCGGCGTTGATATTTGTACATTCTCAACTTTAACACTTCTTTTTAGTGTTTCTGAGAAAATAGCTACTCCAACTACCGTTGTTATTATGGGTAAACTTAAATTAAAATTAAAAAAATTTATTTTAAATTTTAATTTCAGCAATAAATTCTCAATTTTGTATTTATTGGCGAGCAATAATTATGAGCGAGCCAATTAGTCAATTAGCTTATAATTATATTAAAGTAACTTTAATATATAATAATTATTTCAAAAATGTTTTTTAAGGTCACAGTCCCAGTAACAAGTATTTGTGCCCCAATTGGAAGTTTTCTCGGTTCACATTTCCACAGACAGGCTTGATTTTAAATTTTATTAAGCTTTCAAAATATTATTTTTAGACACTTGCCTGGCTTGTATATATTCTTGAATTGGTATTAGTTACTAAATATTTAATCTTTAATTAGAAAAATTTATTAGATCTCTTATTTGGGCTTTTTATTTACTGGTCCTCCATTACAATTGGTAAGGAATTTAATTATTTATATATGTAGGGTTTTTCTCTATTTATTTTCATTAATTAATCCAACATCTATCCTATCAAAAATAAATAAATTTAAAAAATAAGGTTGTGCCAAGCATTTTGATAATCGCTCTTGGATTTGGCTTCTTTCGACTAATGAGCAATTGTGGCAAACGACTTTTAACTAATAAAAATTTGGAGAATAATCTTAAAGTTGAAAGTGAAAGACTAACAAAAATAACTAAAAAAGCATCAGAAGAAAGAGTAGATATTTGAAATATTTTGTAAAATTTGAAATTATTTTGTAAATTTTCTTCCATAAAATATTTCGTCAGTATCAATAAAAAAATTATCAATAGGGAAATTATATATGGGATAGTTAACGTTAATGTTGGGTGCACAAAACCGTTTAGCTCTGATTTTTTTAATATCCGTTTAACACCCCATATCAATCCAAAACCTCTTTTATCGACAGATCTACTGCCGGACCCGAAGCAAATATCTTAGAAAAACATAAATACAATACATTAACTCGTATACAATTTTAAATTTCTTTATCTCCATTTTAAAAAATTGCGAGTTGCGGATTACAGTATGTCAACGGACGTTTTGTCCGGCCATTGATTGTCCAACGACCGTTAGTCCACTGACGCATTGTCCGAACACGTTCACGTTTTGTTAAAATTTTGAATTACTTATAGTGTTTATAATTTTAGCATGAAAGTATTGTTTTTTGATTTATGTAAATTGATTATTTTCTGATTATTTTTTTTCTAATGTTTTATAAATTATTTTTTAATTTAGCACAGAATCCGGCATGCAGCCGGATTCTGAAAATCGTATTTTACAAAATTCTAATATTTTAATTCCTTCAAAGTTTTCAAAAGGACATGTTGACACTACTGAAGAGGACGAGAAAGTGCAATTTCTGATGCAAAATCATGTATGTTTATGTTTGTTTTTGGGTAATGCGTATTTACCTTATTTTTAAGCATGAGCTCTGTGACCTTAGTAAATGTATGGGGAAACGTATTAATGGGCTTTTCATCTGTCAGGTACTTCGGATTCGTAAATTTATTAATTTAATTTTTATGTTTTTTTCAGTTCTCAAACATTCCTGGCTCCCAATATAGTCAATATCTCCGCCATCGACGTCGCCAGAATGCTTACAAGACAAAACCTTGTCGCAATTATTATGGTAATGGTTTCTGCAAGGCGGGCAATGAATGTTCCTTTTATCATGATGTTGGTGAAATGCGCACACTGCCACAAATGGAGATGTCTGACGAGCTGAAGTGGCATCCAATTGACGTTAAAAACTTCTTCCCGCAGGTCAAATAATTTAAAACTAATAAACAGACAAAAATTTTTCTGAGCATTTCCCTCCTAAATTTCATTTTCCTTGATTCCCATGGAGGAGGGCATGCCCACAACACTAGGATAGATATGCCCTTGGTTCTTGGACCTGAGTTTGAAGTTGTAAGTAAGAACCCAAAAATAAACTGAAATGAAAAATCCAAGGGAGATGGGTGAAGACACTTTCCAAATTTGGTAAAATCTAACAGCCTCATTTGGAAATAAGCAATTTCATTCAAATGCCTTTTTCATTTAGTTCAATTTTTTTCTGTTCAAAGTTCTGTTTTTCTAAATTTAATATGTATTTCATTGCAGTTACTAAATGTTACAAATTCTCAATATAATCAACATTTACGAAATCTTCGACGTCAAAATGCCTACAAGACAAAACCTTGTCGCAATTATTATGGCAGAGGTTTCTGTAAGTCTGGTGTTAATTGTTCCTTTTATCATGCTATTGGTGAAATGCGAGTACCGCCTCAGCATGAAATATCTGGAAAAGTGAAGGGATATTCAATTGACGTTAAAGACTTGTTTCCACAGGTTTGATAATTTAATCTTTTTAATGATTTTGATGTTTGGAACATATTGTTAGTTCGGATAAGAAGCATTGAAATTAGTTTAAGGAGTCTTGTTTGTTAAGACAAACTTTATAATCATTAAGCTAGCCGAAATTTAATTAGTTTTTACAAAAAATTTTAAGATTTTTGGAGAATTTCACCGTGACAAAGAAAATCAAGCGCAATTTGGTTCTTCTGCTGCAATGCAATTAGAAATGGAGAGAATTGTTGACCGTCTCATCTCATCACCATTTCGTTCCTTTGAACTGTCCTCTTAAATTATTTTAAGTGTTAATAGTATTTCTGTCACTTTTTAAATGTCTTTAATTTTTATATAAAATTATTTAAAGGGTTCTAATTAGGTAAATATTTAAGTTTTTTAAAATTAAAGACATTTTCTAAACAAATTACTAATTTTATATGTATTTGACTTTAATTTTTATATTTTTCATTAATCCTAAAGTGTAATTTAATTTCTAATTTATTTACTTTTTCGACTCTATTTGTATTTATAAGACTTTAAAATAAATATCTAAAATTCTAATTACTTGACTTTTTATAGAGGTTCGTTCATGACGATCTTTTTAAAAATATTTTTAAATTTTTTGAAATACTAGATTGAAACATTTTTTGGATTTCATAAGTTTGGGGAAAATTTTTTTTGGCATATCGTTATTAAATAATTTCGGTTTTGTTAAATTGTTTTTAAAAAAGAATTTTTCAAATGATTTTATTAATTTTATTTTTTTAGATTAATTTAATATTTACTAACAAAAATTAATACTAACAACAACAATTTTTTAATTTAATTATAATGAACGTCACTAACAAACTCCAAAAACGCCCCTTATCCCTATCCAGCTTCCAACCAAATTATGAAGCTCATCAACCTGTAGAACTTGCTCAATATATTAATCCCGAATCTGAGTAAATCTTTTTTTAAACAATTTTTTAAATTTTAATTTTTAGAAAGGCACATCACGTTCTTTTAGCCCATCATCAACGTGAATGGCGTAATAGCAGACGTTATATAGAAAGTTACAAAACGGTTATGTGCCAAAATTGGTTGGAGAGGGCACAATGCAGTTTTGGAAAAAATTGCCGTTTTGCTCATGGCTTTGACGACTTAAGGACACCAACGTTGTTTTTAATATAATTAATTTTATTTTAAAGTTTTGTTTTTAAGGCTTCCTCTTCCCATCAACGAGAAGTACAAAACTCGTCTTTGTGAAAAATATACAAGTCGTGGAGTTTGCCCTTACGGTAGTCGCTGTTTATTTATTCATCCTGACAACGTCCAAAATAATTTGCAAACAAATTACATCCAAAGCAATTACCTCAACACGACTGATTATTTTGCTAGATCAATGCCTACCTGTCTAATTAAGAAGAAAAACAATAATCTTTTTCCGCAGGTTTTCTTTTAGATAATTAGCTTATTAAGATTGTTTAAATTAAATTTTTGGTTATATTTTTGAAATGAGAAAAAATTCGCGAATTATCGCAATAGAAAAATTGGGGTTGGATTTCTAATTAAATAACAGCCAAAAACCGTTTAATTTAATTCTGGTCGATTTCTCAAAGCAGATCAATCAACAGAATCGGAAAAAATTTTCAACTATATTTTCGAATTTTTTAACCTCGTCGGTACATATTTTTCCCTTTTTCACCTTGTTATGCGATATCCTCAATGGAAGTTAACTTTCTTCCATCCTCCTCGAGAATTTCTTTGTTTTTCTAAAATTTCATTTGATGGATTTTCATTATTTTTATTTTAGATTCTTGAAGAACTTAATCGTGAAAAAGAAAACCAACAGCCACGAGCCTCGTCTGATGCAATGCAATTAGAAATGGAGCGCTATGTTGACTGTCTACTCGCATCGCCATTGTGCCTTTAGGTGATCCTTTTTAAGATTCTTAATTTATTCTGTGCCTGTTTTGATTTTTAAATGTCTTTAATTTTTGTATTTTTTAAAATAATTAAATTATTTTATGAAGGGATTCTTTTTGGAAAATATTTACAAAATTAAAGACATTTTTTAGACAAGCCTAATTCTAATTTATTTATTTTTCTCTGTTTATTTGTGACTTTTTAATTCGATTAATTTTAATTTCTTTAAATTTTTAATTAATTTTTTTCTAAGATCAGCTTAATTTATTTGTATTTATAAGACTATGAAATAAATATTTGAATACTAGCTTATATTATTTTTATAGATAGTTTATATCACGTTTTAATTTTTTTCAGTTTTTGCATGTTTTTTTTTGAAGTTGGTATAACTTTGGAAGAGAAGCCATTTTAACGAAATTAGATAAAAGCAGGCTCGTAACCGGGTTTTTTTCGTGTTTCCCCCTGGTTATGGGCCTGAACAAAAGTATTTATAACCTTTGTCCCATCCTTTGGAAGTTCATTCATGTATTAGTCACTCCTAGATAGCTTATACTCTACCAATAATTTTGCAGAAACTTTATTCAAAACAGTAACATCGTTTAGAGAAATTTCAAAGCTTTCGTACAATTTTGGTTTAGTTTGATAAATAAATGTTAGTAAATATGCGTGTAAATACTTTTATTAAAGTGCAAAAACTACAAAAAAACAATTTAGAAATGCGATATAATACAAAAATAATTTTTGCAAATGCAAAATAATAAAAAAAATTTGCATCACGTCAGCCAATACTTATCTTTTTAGTAACGCTTTTTTTGTTAAATTTTTCTGTCTCCAACAAGATTTACATTTTTAACACTCATTAATATTACAATTTTTTTATCATTTTCTCTTCATTGTCACCTGCCACTGTCAAAATATTTGTTTAGGATAATCCGAAGACTTGATATTACAAAATATTACCAAAAATTGCTACGTGGAAAATATGCTGCTTTTTGTTGAGCAAAAATTCTATAGCGCACAAAGTATCACTAGAAAATTATGTACGATTTGTACTGAAAATTCGTCATTTTATTGGAAATCGTCATCGGGTTTTTTTGAGTTTATCGAAATATCGTGCTGCACTGTATATCACTAAGTTATCATCTACCTTGTTAGTTTCTTATCCGCTATAAAGTTCCTATAGGAGGTTGAGACGTTAAATTGAATTTTGATTTGCTAAAATGAGTTTGAATTAAAATATTAAATTCGAAAAAAAATATATTTCGAAGTTTATCGTTATCTCACTAACGTAAATAATCTTATTTTTATTAGTTCTTTCGTAAATCGCTCAATATCTGTATCCAATGTGCGGGACAGACAATTTGCTAGACCTGAGACATCTATCCCAAGACCTAAAACCCCCACCCCCCCCCCCTCTCCAACGAAAGTCTTGATTTCAAGACCATTTCTTTATTTTTATCTAAAAATTATTTTTTATTGTTCACATTTTTTCACTTTTACAAATTTATTTTTAAAAATAAAATAAATATACATCATAAATGTTACAAGGTGACACTTTAAAAATATTCAAAATCATTCATTATATTTTAACTTTTTTTATTAATAGCTTCATTGAGGACGATTAATTTTTAATGGGGGAAGAGGTATACAGCCAATGTTAACAAATATTTATTTTTTGTAAATATTTGAGGGAATCCCTAATAAAAATTTTTGGGGGAATACTTAATATGTTGTCTATAACACACAAATTTCATCATTTTATGCAATATTATTTATTATAAAAAATCCACGCAGGAATGGCAAAAAGTTGGGGAAACCCCCAAAATTTTTCAACGATCTCTGACCGAGAATTATTTCTAAAAAATTTAATAAGTTATTTGCCCAACACAACCAATCACTCGAGTGATGGTTTAAATTTGCATTTATTTAAGAGAAAGTAAAGACTAACAATTGAGGCATTTTCCAGAATAAATTTAACTAGTAAATATAAATATATATATTCGAGAACAAACTTCATTTTATATATTCATTTTAGAAAATTATTTTGTAATATAAATATTTATTTATTGAATTATTAGTTTTGCTAAAATAAATTACAAATTCTTTTTAATAATTTATTTTTCCTAAAATTTTTTAAAAAATTAAATTTCTTCTAACATTTTTTAAAAATTTTTAAAAAATTTTATGATTTTTAATAAAAGAATACCTTACCTATTTTAAAGTATTTTATTTTCTGTTAAATACATATTTTTAACAATTATTTTAGAAATTACTTAAAAACTAGAAATAATTATTAAATTAGTTATCTTAATTGTTTTTAAATAAATTATTTGTCAAAAATCTAAATTATTTTTTCCTTTAAATCTTGAATGGTTTTTTCAGTTTGAATTTTGACAAATTTTTTAATTCAATTTCTGTTTACTTTTGACAATTTTTAATTACAAAACATGTCTAATATTTGCATATTTGGGTGCTTATTTTCTTCTTATCTTCTCTATTTTCATTATTATTAATTCATGTGTTTTTCATTTTCCTTAATTGATTTATACCATTTCTCCATAAATTAATGCTAAGGTTTAATAAAAACAAATTTTTATTTGTCCTAAGGAAGTTGAGAATAATCCAATAACTTCTGAACCGGCTGACAATTAATGTTAATAACTTTACTAATAATTCAACTCACCTCGACGAGTTCTTTTAAATTCATATTAAAATTTCTGTAATTCTAAACGAAGTATGATGGAGTTTGGCAATAATTTAGGGGATCTAAGTGCTTTTGTAACGAAAAAGTTTATTAGATTAAAGTTATTAGACTTTTATTAGATTTTTTTAGAAATTTATTTAAAATTTATACAGTAACCCTTTATTATTTAGCTAAATTTAAACATTTTTGTATTCATTGATCATTGTATCTAGCTGTTATTTTGGCTAAAGGTCAAATATGCAGTACATTAATTCCTCATTCTTCGTGCCTTCATTTAATATTTTTCTCCAATCTATATTTAGTATATGTATGTATGTAGTAGTTTATTAATATTGAATATATTTACATGTACTTCTACATAGTATTTTTTACACAAATACATATGCTTAAATAAATGAGTTGTTTAATTAAAATATGTACTAAATTAATCAGCTAACGTTTTTTTTCGTTTTAGAATTTTTATTAAAGACTTTATTTAGTCAAATTTTAGTCGAAATTTTTATTTTTTTAAATTATATTTAATTTAGAATTTCAAAATTAAGTTAAGCAATTAAATAAATTTGTATCTTTTTATTTCTTGTTTCGAAAAGTGTTCAAAACTTTTTAATTTTTTTTTGTAAAATTCCCTCTTTTTAATTGAAAAACAAATAGATTTATTTAATTCTTTATTTGTTTTTTATTAAATCTTATTAAAATAAAAACAAATAAAGCTATTAAACGGAAAATTAATTAAAGAACAATGTTTATTTGAAGAATTTTAAATTTTAAATGAATAAATGAAACTTAATTTTTTGTAGAAAAACTGTTTTAATCTTTCATTTATTTATTTTCACATCATTAATATTCTGAGAATAAAAATATTTAATATAAATTAAAAGCAATCTTTATTGTAATAAGAAAAAGTAGCAAATGACTAAAAAATATTAACTTGATCCAGATATCTTTCAATTTTAAAAATCAATACATATTTATTATTAAAAATATCTAAAAAAAATATTTATTTTTCTCGTTTTTAAAAATTATTTTTTTTAATAAAAGTACAATTTTTCTTTGTATTTCTGTAGATACTCAAAAATAAGAATCCAAAATTTTTTTAATTTTTTAAATAATATTGTGCCTCTCTCCAAACCGTTTTTCCAAATTTATGTTAAAATCATTGTCAGTTACCTACAACATTTTTTTTATCTTTTTCTCCTACCAGAATTATTTAAATAAAACGAATTTTTAATTTAAATTTTTCAGAGACATTTAAAAATAAAATGTCCATTCACAGCTCTACAAATTCACCAATTTCCCCATCTATTAACGACAAAAATGACAACGACATTATTGTTCCCCCAGCTTCTGAATTTTCGCCTTCTCCTACAAAGATGGCCCATTACACCTTCCCTTCCTCACCAGATTGTGCTCTAGATTTATTTCAACAGCAAAAACCTTTAGCTAAACAAAAACAAACAATTATGGAAATTATTTTCCCAATTCGTTTTGTTATTTTGGCATTATCTCTTGGATGTCTTTCATTAATTGTTGCTAATTCTTTGGCTCTCAATTTTACTGTTATTTGTATGCACAAAGAATTGCCGTCGTTAATGACTGAGAATGGTGGTGGTGATCTGCATTGGGAATGGACGGTAATTTTGGAGTGAGAAAGAGGGAGAGAGAAGATAAAAAAAGAAATTTTATAAAAATTTCTTTAATCTGAGATATTGAAAAGAGTGAACAAAAATGGAAATTAAAATTAAAAAATGTAATTTTGAAAAATATTTTTTTTGCATTCTTGGTTATTTTTTTAAAAAAAATTTTTAATTATATTTTTAGAAATTAACCAAGAATTGCTAATGAATTAATTAAGAATTAATAGAAAATAATCTCTCGAAAGATTTTTTAATAAAACTAAAGTAAAATTTAAAATAAAAAAATTTTGTGGGTCGTTCTGTGGATGTGTTTGTTGTTAGCTTTGTGGGTATGTAATACATATAGTACCTAATTTTCCTTCTAGAATTTATTTTGAATACTACACATATTTTTCTGAAGTTTAGATGGGCTTATTTTATTTTTAATATTTTACATAGATAAGGATTTTTTAATTTAAATTTTTAGTTCTTTTTGGTTTCATTTTCATTTATTTTTTGCTTGAAAATATTTTTGATATAAAATATAATTATTTTCTTAGATATTAACAAATACAAACATCTCCTCTAATAATGAAGAAATTAGCAAAGAACAGCAGCTTGAATCAATGTTTACCGTCGACGAGCAAAGTTGGCTTTTCTCAGCAATTGCTATTGGACAATTAATAGGCACTTTGCCAATTACTTATTTTATGACAAATATTGGATTGCGGTAATTTTTGAATTTAAAAAATATTTTTAAAAAATTATTTTTTAAGTAAAATGTTTACTCTTTATGGACTTACTAGTTCCTTTTCTACACTTTTTATTCCAATAAGTATTGACTTTGCTGGATTTCCTGGACTTATGTTTATGCGTATTTTGCAAGGTGTTAGTCTAGCGACAGTTATGGTTGTTACTGGTATGGGGTTCTTTAATTTAAAAAAATTATTTTTGTTTCTTTAGGTGCTGTAAGTGCAGAATGGAGCCCTTTAAGCAGTGCCGGAGTTTTTCTAACAATTTTAACTATAAATTACCAACTTGGCCCAATCACTGCAATGCCTTTGGCGGCAGCACTTTGTTCTTCTGAAACATTTGGATGGGAATCTATTTATTATTTGTTGGGAATACTTACATTTATTGGATTTGCTATTTTCTTTTATTTCTTTCGGGACACTCCAAGAGAACAAAAGTATTAAAAAATTGGAGAATTTATTTTTTAATTTTAATTTAAGGCTTGTATCAGTTAGAGAATTGGCAATAATCGAAAAAGGAAAAATAATAGAGAAATGTCAAAAACAGGAAGGTTCTCCAAAAGAAAGAATTCCCTACAAAGCAATCTTCTTGGATCCCGTTTTTTGGGCAATCACTGCTTCAAATGCAACTGCTAATATGGCCTTTCTAGTATTTTGGCAATATGGACCGTTATATTTAAATAAAGTTTTGGGTATTGAAGTAGCTGAAACTGGAATAGCTGCAGCACTTCCTTACATTCTCTCTACTTTTGTTAAACTTATTGCTGCTCAAATTAGTGACCGTTTTAATTGTATCTCAGAGAAATGCAAAGTTATTCTTTTTGCCAGTGTTTCTCAAGTAATTAATTTTTTTCTGAAAAAAAATTCTTTGAAAATATTTTTTTGTAGTATGTTATGTGTTGCTGTTTTTTGGCACTGGCTTTATTACCTAAAATGGGATTTATGAATGTTATGTTTATGCAGTGTATGTTTACTGCCTCTACTGTCTTTAGCGGTTTAAATGCTGTTGGCGTTGTTAAAAGCACTCATCTTGTAAATTAAAAGAAATAATTTTGTAAAATAAAAATAAATTTAAAAGGTTTCTCGTCAATTCTCTCATGTTCTCTTTTCTTGGGATACTCTAACTCATGCTATTGTTAGTCTGTAAGTTTTAAAAATTGCAAAAAAGTACATTTACTTTAAAGTACATTACCCACTGTACAATTGTCGTGTCACCTTTTTTAGGGGAATTTAAAGAGAAAATTCAGAAAATTCATTATCATTTTCTAAAAAAAGTGGATGAATTATCAGAATTCTCTTTGACTTTTGTTTTGAGAGATGTGTGGTTGATTGGTTTATAGTGGGTTTGTGGACATCCTAATTCAAGGGATTAAGAGGGTTTAACGAAAAAGGAGAAGCAATGAGAAGAAAATAAAGTCCGCCCCCGAGCTTTGTTTTGCAACCCTAATAAAAAAATATTTTTTAAATAAATACTTATCAAAATTTTATCTTTTGTAGTTTACTTCCTCTGGGAATCAACTTTTTGACACCTACACATTCCGTTGATGAGGTAATTTTAATTTTCTATTTCAACTAATAAATTTAACAAAAAATATTTATTTTAGTGGGCCAATGTTTTTTTATTTGTCACTGCTTGTAATATGGTTGGGACAACATTCTTCAATATTTATGCAGAAGTAGAGCCTCGTGAATGGACTAAAGGGCATATTACAAAAACTTCTCTAACTTACCCCGAGTCAATTGGTACTGTTGAGGAAGGCAAAAAGTTTGGATTGCCGTTGCCTCAACTTCCTTAAAATTTTAGAGAAAAATATATTCTCATTTTTCTTCTCACATCAGCTTTTTACAATTTATTAACTCACCAATTCCAACCTTCTTACACCACCCAAGCAATTCATACCTTCCTTCTTTCTACTATTTCAATTTCACTTACTCAATATTAATTAGACTTTCCGATTTTTTCTTTTATAGACTGTATATTTAATCTTTCAAAAACTTATTATTCCATAGGGCCTCCAATTTTATGGAAATTTTTCACTCCATACATATTTTTGAAGGTACTATTAATGACTTTCCTTTTAATTTGTCTTTAATGCTTTTGTTTAAGTTCTGGGTTTTTTGAATTTATGACATTTTCGGTCGGTCGGTTATTTTATTGGAGGGATTAATATTTAATTAGATCCTTTTTAGAATAATTAAGTTCTCTCCTGGTTTAGGAACTGCCAAAAATGGAACCGGGAGAACATTGGAAAAAATAAGATTTATTTTAATAATTACGTAAACAAAAGCTTTTTTTAATTTTTATTTAATAACCACATACTGTGACCATCTCATATCTGTCACTTTTTCGACTTTTTAAGCTTTACTTTTATATTACATAATTGTTTTAAATTTAATTATTCAAAAATAATTTAGATTTTTTTCGGAATTTATTAATTTAAATTCGATTTAATCGATTTTTATATTTTTAAAGTTAATTTATTTTAATTATTTTTAAAAAAATCCAGATTAATTGTTGCCATTTATTGCAACAAATATTTTACAGAAATGTCAATTCATAGCTCTCCACCTTCAGTTATTAAAGAAGTTAACAACAAAAATGATAACAACAATCATTCAACACCCCCTTCCCCTCCTCCTTTGCCAGAACAACAAAAACAACAATTTTCATTTCCTCCACAAAATTGTGCTATTGATATTGTTAGTAATCAACAAACAATTCAAAATTCTGGCAAAAAACGTCAACACAAAAAAATAAGTGAATTAATCCCAATCCGATTTATTATTTTGGGAACAGCTTTATTTTGTTTCACAATGTTAATTGCTAATCCGTTGGCACTTAATTTTACAGTTATTTGTATGTATAAAGATTTGCCAATGTTAAGTGATGAGGAATTGACGGTGAATTGTTTATTTTAATATTTTAAAATTTAGTATACCTATATCTTACCTTTTGAATGTGCACGTGCATATTTTTAAATAGGTTGGGGATTGACTGAATGATTAAATTGTGATATTGTTATCAAGAAAAACTAATGAATTTTGCCTTACGATTCAGAAATAAGGGGCAATTTTAGGGGAGGGTAGGAGGAGGGGTGTATTTCATAATTAGGGATAGGATTATATGGATTTCCATATTTTTTCCTGGCCTAGTTGGGTCGTGAAACGCACGAAAAACGTTGTTTTAACATATGTTGATTTCATAATCAAAATTATTTTGGATATTTTTTGGGATCAATATTTTCTATTTACTCATAAAATTGAAAATAAATTGGTGCCAGATTTAATAAATATTTTTTAAATTTAATTATTTTCCCCTTCACAGTTGTTACAAAATTCAACAGAAAAAATAAACGAAGAAAATCAAGATGAATTATTTGAATCTTTATTTACTTCAAACGAGCAAAGTTGGCTTTTCTCAGCTATAGCAATAGGACAATTAATTGGCACTTTACCAATTACTAGAATTTATACTCGATTTGGTTTAAGGTGAATAAACAAAAATATTTTTAGAAATTATTCAAAAAAAATTTTTTTAAAGAAATGTAATGGCTGCTTATGGATTTATTAGTTCTTTATCGACTCTTTTAGTTCCGCCAAGCATTTACTTGGGTGGATTTCCTTCACTTATGGTTTTACGAATTTTTCAAGGATTTGGAATGGCAGTAATTTGGGTAGCTCTTGGTAGGATTTTTTAAATTTTTAAAGAAATTAAAAATTTTTTTAAACCATTTTTGTGGCTTTTCGGATTCTCTGTGTTTAACTAATATATACATATCAGTCTGGGCGATTTCGCATTCCCGCTTCTTATTTTTTAATTTCGCCCAGCCAGATACATATAATACCATTTTTATTTAAAGAAATTTTTTCCCAAATTTTTTTAAATAAAAAATTGTTTTTAGGGTCGATTAGTTCAAATTGGTCTCCATTAGCAAATTCGGGCATGTTTCTTGTTGTTTTAACCTCTGCTTTTCAACTTGGTCCAATAACTGCGATGCCTTTGTCTGCCGAATTCTGCTCGTCAGAAATGTTTGGATGGCCAGCAGTTTATTATTTATTGGGAACAATTTCTTTAATTGTTTTCACAATTTTTTATTGGATTTATAGAGACTCGCCTAGAGAACACGAGTAAAAAATTAGAAAAAATATTTAAAAGCAATTTGTTTAAAGATTCCTTTCTTCTCGGGAATTGTCGTTTATAGAACATGGAAAGCCTTTAAAAGATATTTCTGATGGACGTAAAAAAAGACATGGAAATGAGCAGAAACAAGAAGTCCCTTATATGGCAATTCTTAAAGATACAGTCTTTTGGGGAGTTTTTTTGTGTACCGGTACAGGAAATTTGGCATTTCAAGTATTTTGGCAATTTGGGCCAATTTATCTAAATAAAGTAAAATTGCTGATAAATAAATATTGTTTAAAAATAAATTTATTTTGAGGCATTAGGTATGGAAGTAGCCAAAACAGGTATAGCTTCAGCTTTACCTTTTGTATTGTCGTTAATTGGGAAAAACGTTGCTGGTCAAGCAAGTGATCGTTTGACTTCTGTTTCTGAAAAAGCTAAAGTTATATTTTTTGCTAGCATCTCTCAGGTTCATAAGAAGTTTATATTCCCTTTCAATTTATTTTTTTAGTATTTAATGGGTGCCTGTTTTTTGGCAATGTCTTTATTCCCTAAATTTGGGATTGTTAATGTTACTTTAATGCAATGCATTTTCACTGCTGCAACTGTTTTTAGTGGTCTTAATACTGTTGGAGTAATTAAGGGTACACAATTAGTAAGTAAATAAATTGAATTTTGTATTTTAAAAAAGATATGGAAATGATTAGGAACAAGAAATCCCTTATACATATTGAAAACACCTTCCCAATGATTATTAATATGTTTTAAATTTTAGTTTTTTTTAATTTAAATTATCTAAAAAATAAAATAAAAATTTTAAATAGATGTCAGGTCAATTTGCTCATGTTATATTTTCATGGACAACAATCCAACTTAGTGCTATTATGTTGTAAGTTTTGATGTCAATTAAAAATTAATTTTATTTTTCAAAATTTAATATTTCAGAATTATCCCAATGATTATTAATTTGTTGACTCCGACAAATGCTGTTGAGGAAGTATAAAATAATTTCATCTAAAAAAGGATTTTTAAAAAATATTTTTAGTGGGCAGATGTTTTCCTGCTTTTCACTGCTCTTGTTTTTATTGGAACAACATATTTCAATTATGTAATTGAAGTTGAACCTAGAGAATGGACTGAAACAGAATTACAAAGTGCCAAATCATCTTTAAGTACAACAACAGTTCATGGAACGACTATTTGTGCTGAGGAAGGCAAAAAGTTGGGATTGGATGCTTTACAAATTCGTTGAAACGAGCGAAAGAAAATTAAAAAATATTCACTTTTCCAAATTTTCTCCTTTCACTTTTTTATTCCTTTTTAATTTTACTATTGAAGAATTTAAAATCCAAATTATGTATAATTTTGTTTGACTTTGAATCATACAATAAATTATTTTAAAATTAGGTATATTTATTTAAAATTTAAAGTTTTTCTTTAAACTAGGGTAGCTACCCGAAACCCCGACCCGACGCCGACGATTTTTTTGACAAAACCCGAACACTGAGGGCTCTATCCGAAAACCCCGAGTCGGGGTCGGGGTAAAACATACACCCCTAAAGATGAAATTTTTCGGGATTTTTTTAGCATGTGAATCCCCAAATACCTTATTGTAAATATTTTTCTCAAAATTAATAAAAAAGTAAAAATACATATAATAATTTATGTATTTCATAAATTAAAAGAGAATGTGTGGTTGAGTATCTAGTGGTGGGCTTAAGTATTAAGCTTTTGACATAGGTTTGGGTTCGAATCAAGGTATGAAGATAGGATCTCGCAGTTTGTCTTTCGTTATCAAAAGCGAATTTTTTGCCCATTGCCATTCAGATTCACGTATTTTTTCCTCCAGCGTTAAAAAAAAGAAATTTGGCTTCTTAGCCTTCAAAAATTCTCAAAACTTTCGCCTGCGGCGCTGAAAAGTGAATTTTCCGTGCCCTTGGCACATTATACTTATAACTTTAATTTAAAAATTTCTAGTGAAACCTAAACTCCTAAACCCGAAATTATAAGCGAAACTGAGTGGATGATTTAATATTAAAAGTACTTTTGTTTAAAAATTTGAATCAGTTATTTAATAATTATAATTTATATCTAATATTTTAATTAGGTATTTTGTCTAATATTATTAGAGGTTATTCCAAAATTATTATTCTTTGCTGGACTTCTTAATTCTTTTAAATTTTCAGCTCGAAATTGTCTTTCTAATTCCTCCAATGATTTTAATCTAGTTTCAGGCATAAAAAACCAAACAAAAACAGCAGCAGAAACTCCAATAATGACAAATAAATAAGAAGTTCCCCAAACATTAATTAATCCAACAAGAACAGGAAATAAAAAAGAAATTAAGCAATTAATCTGAAAAAAATATTTTATTTACAAATTAAATAAAAAATTTACAAGCCAAAGAATTGAAGTAGTTAAACCCATTGCCAATCCCCTTATTTTAAGTGGAAACATTTCTGATTGAACTAGCCATGTAACTGGGGAAATACCTCCTTGTTGGAAGAGAAGAAAAGTAACAGTTAATGATAAAACAACATAACCACTAAATATATTTTTTAAATTATTTTGATAAAATTCTTTTTATTTTACCGTATTGTTCCTTCTTTAAAAAGTAGAGCAGTTGTGCCTATAAATAGATGCATAACTATTGTGCCAATTTGGCCAGTTAAGAGCATTGGGCGTCGACCTATACGGCCAAGAAGCCAAATTCCCAAACACGTAGCTAATACAGAGATTACCCCATTAGCAATGTTGGCAACTAGAGCTGCATTATTGTCTAAAAAAATAAAAATTAATTTGAAATTGAAAAAGAATTTAAGAGACCCAATCCACTCCTTGTCAATATATCCGTCCCAAAATACATAATTGAATTTACTCCTGCTAGTTGATTGCACATGGCAACACCAATGCCAATAAATAAACAACGACGAAGCCAACGTTCATAGAGGCAATTACTAAATAGATTATAATTTTATAAAGAAATTGTGTATAAGATTTCGGATCCCACTAACTTAATTAATTCCTAAGTAAAGAAATTCTACCAAAAATAATTAAATTTATGTAGAAATTATGTAAAAACTAAGAAATTTTATTTACCTAAAAGTTTTATTTTGTTCTTGTTCCATTGTTTGCCTAACATCCTCAACTTCATCATAAACTTCTTGTTCGTTTCTTCTTATCTTTTTGAGGACAGAAATTGCAAGTTCATCTTTCCCTTTATTGCAAAGCCATCTCGGACTTTCCGGAATACCTCCAAACAAAATTCCAATTAATAAACAAATTGCTGGAATAACTGCCAAAGCTAACATCCAACGCCAAATATCTAATCTATTTTTATTTACTTTTTAATTAATAAATTTAAAATACTCTTTACCGATGTCCCCAAATATTTCCAAGTATTGCATTACAAATATAAGCAACTAATTGTCCACTAACAATCATTAATCTAAATGCAAAATTAATTAAATAAATAATTTAAAAACCAACTCATTTCGAGTAACTACTTGCCCTCTTAATTTTGCTGGAGATAATTCAGCAAGAAATACCTTTTTAAAAATAAATAAAAAAATAGAAATTGTCTGAACGGACCGGGACTGTAGTTGATGCACCACCAACAGCTAAACCAAGAATGAATCGAAAGAAAATAAGGAACTGAATTTTAAATAAATAGGGGAGGAAATAAAAAATTTAGAAATTTTAAATATTTACATTAAGATTAGACAAAGAACATCCAATAGTTCCAATAATAAAAATAATCTTTACAAAAAATATTATTTTTCTTTAAAAATTTTTTTAGTTAATTACACTTAAAACAATTAGAGTTTTCCTCCTTCCAATCCAATCTGCTAAATGCCCGCCAATAAAAGACCCAAAAGTAGCACCAATTAATAAAGAACTTGTCACAATTCCAATTTTAACCTTTTTAATTAAAAAAATAAATAATTTTTCCAAAAATTATTTTAATTTTTACATCACTAAGTTTCAAATCATTTCTCATATAAGGCAGAGCCCCATTAATTACTCCTGTATCATAGCCAAATAAAAGTCCACCAAGAGTACATATCCAAGTAATTTTATGAAGAAAAAAGCGATAATGGATATTCTAAATAGATTTTTAACTTTAAAATAAGTATTGGGAAAATAAATGGAATATAAACATTATTGCTTTGTGGTCTGGGGTAAAAGTCTAGAACGCTATTAATATGTCCGCAAAAGGCAGTTCTGCAAAACTCATTTTTTTGCATTCTCCTCCCTTGCCTTTTTTCCTTTAATTGGTTGACAGATTTTATGCGGACCTATAGATATGTAGCGGACTTTTATCGTGGTCTGGATTTAAATTTAAAAAAAGGGAAATTTTTGGTATATCAAGGCAATCTTGATATAAAATTTCTATCGGTATAATCTATTAGAGTCCATCATAGTAAAGGGAGTCGACTGCAGAATACTACTTAATATATTTATTTATATTATTTATTAAATTTTTTTTGAAAATAAACATTTATTTTATCCCCAGATTCTTAAAATATTGACATTCTTGTTTTAATTGTTTATTTATTTAAATACCCGCCTCTCTTTGTTCATTATTTGGCTGCGCAATATTGATCACTTTTGTTGGCCGTTCACCGTTGTAAATTTTATTTGTATTTGATAATGGTTGTGAATACATTTTTATTTAAATATTTTTTAAAAATAATTTCAAAATAACAAATAAACAAACAAAATTCTAATTCCTTTACTAATATATTTCGATTATTTATTTCCTCAATTCATTTCTCTCTTTAACGAATTAAATTTAAAATTTTATTCAGCCTAGTTTTATGTGAATAAATATTTAAATTGTTTGTTTTTTTTAATTTGAAAAGTAAAATACATATTTAATAATAAATTTTATTTAATTTTATTTAAAGATTTTTATTAAAAATTATTTAAAAAATAATAATTCTTTTAAATTATTACACTTATTTGTTAGTTATTATAAAGTTAAAAAGGCTTAAATGTTCAAATAATTTTAGTCTTTTCTTACAAGCTCAGTAAAAGTAAATAAAAGAATTTTTGTTTATTTTAAATTTAAAATATATATTGGAATTTCTAATATTAATATTATTTTTATAAAAAATATTTAAATTTTAATTAATTTATTATTATAAATATTAATGTTTTTTTTAATTTTTTTGTTTTTTGATATCCCCTAAATTTATATTTTAAAATTATTTTTTATTGTTAACAACAATAGAAAAAAGTAAAAAAAATTAATTAATAAATTTAATAAAATGCACGCAAAAAATAAAAAGAGAAAACAGATGATAATAGAGCCACAATTAATTAATTAATGAAAATATTTTTTAGAAATTAATTTGTACATAAAATAAAAGTGAGGTTATTAATTTAATTAATTTAAAGTGAAAATTAAATTTTTTTTCTTCAAAAAATAATTATTTTATGATTATGAAAATTATTAAAATATGTAGAAAAGGGGTAGGAAAGAAGAGATCAAACCTGAGAGTTTTAAATATATAGTAGTAATAATTTTTATTTTTCTGGGAAAGGGGATATTAAATGATTGAGTTTGGATTAATTAGAAATTTTTTAAATAAAATTTAAATTTTCTTAAAAAAGAACACAAAATTTAATTTAGTAAAAAAAGTGATTTTAAAAATAATTAATCCTTACATTAATAAAAAAACAAAATTAAGGCATCACCGGAATTTTATAAAAAATATAAAATAAACTAAATAAACACAAAACCTTTAAATATTTTTAAAAAATATTATCTCAAAGATTTACATTTTTATTCTAAAAAATATTTTTTAATAAAAAAATTTCTAGAAAATTCATGTGAATTTCTCGAGAATTATTTAAAATAATTATATAGAGAGAGATCATTGGACAAAAATAGAAAAAAGTTTTTTCAGAAAGGTTGGATTTTAATAAATTAATTTTAAATAAATATTAAAAAAATATTTTTAAATAAAAAGGTTTCAAAAAAATCGGAAAAGGTTTTGTGTATTTACTAGAATATATATAAAATAATTATGTATTTTATAAATAAACTTTTCTTATTCTATAATCCCTCGGAAGTGTAGAACCTAAACTAGTTGTTTGGCATCTAGCATCATGCCTGGGTGTTGCAAAACCAGAATTGGCTCTAGATGCTCCTGTCGAGATTGAAGTTAAGGGAACTAAATGATGGACGCCTCCTCTTTGGCTCATTACTAAACTAACAGTATCCCCTCCATTACAGACACAACTACGAGGGCCAACCTTGAAAATATATTTAAATTTTCAAGACAAAATGAAAACCTACTGAATAAACATTATTTCCAGCCAACATCATCATTTTCTGTTCAGTTGAATCCTGCCTTGCCAGTCTAGCTCTCGCACTTCCGTCTGTACCGTCTGCATAATCAGAACTGTTAGAAGAAGTACTTGCACCTGAGGAAGCAGGATTATTACGTGTAAATTCGCTCAAAGTTCTCCATTTAGCTATACGCCAACCAATCTAAAAAATATGAAAGTTTTAAACTAAAATTTTTCAAATTAAATATATTAAAAATCTGGTAAATTATTACAATTCTTAAATTAAAAAACTTACAACAAAACCAAACAAAGTAGCAACCAAAACAAGCAAAACAAGAACTGAAAGACTTCCAGTTGAATATAATCCTGCCAAATCAATTCCTCTTTGTGTTGGTTCTGCAATATGTGCAGCATCAGAATCATCAGATAAAGGGTCATTAAGTCTGTTATTTAATGGAGACAAATTTTGTAGTCCACCACCGCCAAGAACATCTTCATCTATTACATAAGCAGCTCCACCCTCTGCATTTCCCAAAATACTTGTAAATCCTGGACATTGTTCTGATACACCCAAAAGAACATTCTGAACATAGGAACCGCTATTCCAATCTCTGAAAACAATTAAATAAGAATAAATTAGAAGAGAATCTCTGACTTTCTATTAACACAGCGCCGTAATTCAATGTCCCAAGCACAATGCTTAAAAATAAATTTTAGATAATTAAAAATAATTTTCAAAATTATTTTACCGGATCTCTTAAGGCAACACAACGTCCACAATTTTCTGCCAATGAACAATGTTGTAAAGGAATATTGGCTACTTGAGAAAGCGAAGAAACAATTAATGAAGGGATATTATTATTTGAAGTATTGGGCAATAAACGAATTCCAATAATTGGTGTAAGTAATGGAAATACTTTAATTGTCTCAACAAGAACAGCTGTTCCATTTTGGGATAAATCTATTAACTAAATGAGAAAAAGAATTATTAATTATACTTTAAAATATTTTAAAGTTTTCTTGCCTTAGAGATAGTTCCATCTGTTCTACCAACAAATATAGCATTATGCTTCTGTCGGCGAATAGAAAGGGCATCTGCTGTAACTGCAATTGATGTTAAATCAGCACGATTTGGACCTAAATAAAAAAAATTTGGATGGAAAATTTAAAAAAAATTCACCCTCAACAAGCAAAGGACTATTTCCAATAGTTGAAACTGTCTCATACATAAGAGGATTCTTGCTAATTGGAGCCATATCTGAAAGTTTATTAGAAGCATCTGGTCCACACTGTCCTGGTCTTTCAGAAGGATTTGAATAAAATTTTTGTGACGGAGTCCATAAAGAGGTTGGAGATCTTTGGGTCTAAAAAGAAAAAATTTTTTCTTTAAGTAAAATTAAATTTCACCTTAAATCTCCCATGATCAAAAACCGAATCAATTTGGCTCATTCGAAAAGCGCAGACTGCTGACATTGGTAATGATCGACTAGTTTGAAAAATAGCATAAACTAAAGCATCCCCAGAATTTCCTCCATAAGGAATTGGATCAGATATTGACTCTAAAAAGCATTTTCCATAAATTTAAAATTGTAAATAAATTCTCTTACGTATTTCATTAAAATAAAAAGGAGAAATATCTCCATCACCGGGAACAGAACAATTTAATCTCAACTTTAAAAAGCTCGACCATCTATCTTGTGCCGGGGAAGGACCCCCAGGATCATTAGCACAAACTCTTCCAACTCTTGAATATATTTGTGTTTCTCTATTGTTGTCGAGAGCATCTGAGGCTTTCTCTCTATACCAAAAATAAACATAATCCCCATAAGAGAATGATCCAACAAAATTAGGTTCTAAAACAGAAAATTCGTTAGTAAATAACTCCTTAATAATACTCTACCATCAATAACTCTGTCATCTTTTTGTGTTCGTAAACTATCTCCACCTGACAATCTTCGCCTATAAATAAGAGGATCTGTAGCACTAAAGTCAGATATTGCTCCAACAAAAATATCATTCCGTTCAGGTAAATAAACATAAGAAGAATTTTGAAGAGGATCATAAGGAGAAATTGCCTTTAATTTAAAATATTTATAAATATTTAATTAAATATTTTACTTGTCCATTAAATTGTCCTCTCTCAGCAAATCTATCTTCAGATTGAATAAATTCATATTCACGACATTGTGGAGAAAAAGCATGTGTTCCACAAAGGAGAATACGTCCATTTTGGAGTTTTGCGGCTACTCTGACGAAGTTGTGGCATTCAGCCTGGAGGATTATTTTGGGAAATTATTTTTAAAATAAAAGGTGTAAATTAATATTCAAAATCACCTCTGATTTTCCCTTCATAAGGCATTCTTCAATTGTTTGGCCAGGTGCTTTCCATTGGATTGTCTGAAAATATTTTTTAGTTAACAAAGTAAAAATCTTTTTTTAACACATTTTCTCGATTAATTATCCAACTAGCGAAAAATTGAATAATAATTACCCCACTCCCCTCAATTATCCTTTAAAATTTTAAACACAAATAGACCCCACGATTACTGTAATAATTTGTTCATAAAAAGCAAAAACTCACTAATTTCGTATTTAATCTGCTTGTAGAAAGATTATATAAAGCATCTCTATTTAATAAGAAAAAATATTTATTTAATTATAATTGAATAAATTTATTTTACCTTCCCCCAATCAAAATATAGTCTGAATTTACATTTAGCAAAATAAATCTATCCTGAGTTTTGATAGGGCTTGTAAACCTTGGAATGCTCTCTACTGAAATATTTAAAGTATTTTTTTAATTAAAAAAATATTTTTGATTTCAAAAACTTTTTAATAATTATTTAAATTTACAACCCCCCTTTCCCCTTTCACAATACAATTCCCCCATATTTTTGTTAACAATTTCCTTCCTTTTAATTACAAAAATATGTGTAAATATGTAGATATTAGTTTTTGTTTTATGATTATAAAAATTGATATAAATCTACGTTTTTTGCATAAATGTATTTTATTTTTTAGTTGTAAAAGGATCAAAGGAGAAAAAATTCTAAAACAAAACTGCTTGATAGATGAGAATGGAAGAATAATGGCAAAAACGGAAAAAAACAAATTAAGTATGTACAAATATTGAACTAAAAAAGGATTTCCATTTAGATTTAATTACTATACATATTAGAATTAGTTATTAAATAAAATAAAAATATCAGAGAAGGGTAAACAATAAACGAGGAATTTTTAAATAGTTAAAATTCGTTTTATGAATAAAATTAATACTGTGGACTTGAAAATAATTAAATAATTTTTTTGAGTATTTTTACAAATATTCTTAAATTATAAAGCATATAAACTAACAACTGATCTAACACAATTTAAAAATTACCTGTAAAAGTTTAACACTTGTACATATAATTATTATTTTATTTTTCAAAAAACTTGTTGAAAATACCTTCAAAAGTGTTCTTTTGTTATTTTCAATAATTATTTAAAAACAAACAAATAAATTTATTTATTTGTTTATTATACTCTCGACATATATTTTCCATAATATATCCACTCATCGGCGACAGCGTCAATTTGTCTGTCATCATCTCTTTCCCCCCTTTTTTTCATACTTATTCACAATAGCCAAATTGCGCACAAAACCCAATGTAAACTAACAATTTGTCCGTGAATTTATTTTTGAGTAAATCGAGACAATTACTTGACGGTCAAAATAATTTTTGTACAAAACACAAAAATAATTTACCGTATTTCCTATATTAGAGCCCCACCCTCTGTTAGAGCCCCACCCTCTAATACAGCCCCACTTTGGAGGATAGTTGAAAAATAGAGCCCCACCCTCAATTAGAGCCCCACCCCAAATATAGCCCCACTAAAAATAGTGGAGGAAAAAATATCCCCAATAACTTTTTAGCTGTATTTCGAGAGTTAAGGAAGTAAAGGGGGATATTGGTGATATTGTGATCATGGAGGAGGAGGGATCATGGGGATATAGGGATGAAAAGGAGGAAATAACCCCGATATCCGTCCAAATACTCTTATATCACCTATATTTCTCCAAATCACTCCAGAAAATTGACGATAATTCGCGAGATTATTAGAGATCTATTAGGGATCTCGCTTATAATCAGTGAAGGAGAAGTTCCACAATTTCTCTGGAACCGGTTCCAGTTCTGGAAATGCTTTTTGAATTACTTCAGTTCCAGTTCTGGAACCTGTTCCAAGGCCTCATCAAACAAAATCGCTTCATATGCCTCCTAATCCAGAATATCCCTTTTACAAATTAATAAAATTTAATCCTAAATTAATAAATTTAATCCTAATATGTTCCCCATAATCCCTTAAAATCAACTTTTATACCTCTGATCCATCGATGTCAAATACTAGTCCCCTAATATTTCCTTTAATCCGTCAAAATCTACCAGAATTTCATACTTAGTAATCTTACTCTCGAACTATTGCGACTATTTTGTTATTCATTGCTTATAAAGTTTTAATTTTTGTGGAAAATCGAAAATTTCGATTCTCTTTCGATATTTTTCGGTTTTAACGACCACCTCTCCAGCCTATCTCTAGTTGCAATGGATATTTAATAAATGGGATTTTATCACGAAAGAGTGTTGAAAAATAGAGCCCCACCCTCAATTAGAGCCCCACCCTTTAATACAGCCCCACCTTGGAGGATAGTTGAAAAATAGAGCCCCATGGGGCTCTAATATAGGAAATACGGTAATAGTTTTCTTTTCATCTTTTTTGAATAGCAACAATCTTTTCAATTAAATTGGGAAGAAATTTTGATTTGTAAATATATGTAAGTGAGGAATGACATTGAAAATAAAATTAACAAAAGAAAATAAAAAAGATTTTTTGAAAATATTTGGAAACCTATTTTTATATACATCAAACGAGTAAAATATAATTAAAAATATATCCGATATGAATAGAATTATTAAAAAAATATATTTGTAATGGAATTAGGTATATGTATGTATTGTTAAATATAATTTACATTATTAATAAAATAAAATATTTTTTGATATTTTTACCTTCATTAATAAATTGACTCGGTCTCGGGTTCAAATTTTCTATCGAGTATACAGGAATAAATATAAAAATCAGCAAAATTAATAAGTTGTCAAAGGGGGCAAATATAAAATTTCGTTTTATTCTCCTCCAAATTATCATAACTTTGATTGAGGAAATAAAAACGGAGAAAATAAAAGAAAGAATTTTTTTCGAAAATTTAAATGTTGCTGAAAGTTTTTTGTTGAAATTGAAACTAAATTAATTAATTTAGTTGTTGAATATATTTAAAAGAAAATAAACATTTTCAGTTAATGATGCCTTAAAATTATTTTAAATTAAATAAAAATAGGAAATTAAATTTTGAAGAAAAAAGGTGTAAAGGGAATTAAGAGAAAAAGAAGGAAATGACCAAAGACTCATTGACAAAAACGAAAGTAAATGACCCCATATGCAGCAACTAAATAAATTTTGAGAGGCCCAGCTGATGACCAAAATAAATAAAAATTTTGTTTGGAAATTAAATTAAATAGTAAATATAGGTAATGTATTTGTGTATTGAAATTAACTATAGATGAGGATAAAATTGGAAATAGAAATTATAAGGATATTTAAAAAAAAGTATGGAAGGATAACTTTGAAATAATAATTTCAATATTATAATTTTATTTTAAGAAAAACAATGGAATAAATATTTAAAATATACTACGGAAATGTTGAGAAAAAACTGTCTTCAAAAAGCAGAAAAACTAATAAAACTTCAATCCTACAAATAACTTTTTAATATTAAAGATAGAATCAAATAATCGGGAAAATCAAAGCATTGTAAAAAAGAATTATTAATAATAAATACAAGGACAAAAAAAGAGAAAATACAAAAGCGGCAAAGCACGAACACAATTTAGTTCGAAAAACGACAAGAACGACCTTTTCCGTCTTTTATTAAGTAAAAGACTGACAAAAGTATATATCTACATAACGTTCTTTTTGCCGTCCGAATGCCCACAAACATTTTTCCCCCTTCGATGATGAACTACTACTAAAGTGAAGGGACACTGACTGAAGGCCGGTGGGGGAGAAAAGTGGGGCAGGCACCGGGGGAATGCTCTAGAGCAAATCGATGGCCTGGGACGATGTTTTAGAAAAAATGGGGTTTATTCTTTCAATAAATAATTATATATTTTTTTCTACTAAATGCTTTGAATTATAGCTATTTTTGTTAAAAGACATAGAGGAGATCTTGTGGTTTGTGGATAAAAAATTAAATGAGAGAAATAAATGAGAGAAGAAATAAATTAAAATAATTAAACATAATAAAAGGTGATCAAAGTGATAATTAAATTTTAAAATAATTAATTTTCCTTAAATGTAATTAAAATTAAAAAAATAAAGTATAAAAAATTTAAAAAAACATTTTTAAATATACATATGTATAAAATAAGGTATTAACTACATAAATGTTTTTCAAAAAAAAATAATTTAGCCTTCAGTTAAGTTTTGCGCATCCCCCATAATTTTCACGCTCAAATTGTCACCTTCTTACTTCTATAAATGACCCTACTAACAATGGCCGGTATTCTTCTTTTTGTCTTCTTAATAGAAAAAAAACTTGGTAGAATTTTACTTTTCGTACTTTTTTCCCCTCTTTCAATTAGGCCATCATTATTCGCGCCCGATTGATTCCCCAGAGGGAAAAGAAGTAAAGAATAAAGAAAATCGCCAAATCTTTAGTTGATTTGTGCCCCCCCACCCCCATCCATTCCCTCCTTCCCTCTATTTTACATTTTTCGATGCTCTCTGAATGTATTCAAGCGTTACTAATTTTTCTGTTTTATTCTAAATGTTCAAAATAACGGCCAAAATATTTTTTGAAATTACCGCCACTTTTCAATTTTGACGGCCTACACCACTTGATGGATTAAAAAAAGGATTGGTCACCAAAAAATTGAAGTGGATACTTAGAAGGATTTTCTCAAATTTTTAAATAAATTAAAGAAAAAATAAAAAATACTTGGATATTTTCATACATCTTATCCTTTTATTAGAGGAAAAATATTGGTGGAGAATTTTTAGGAGGAAAATGGATAATCTTTAACCGAAAATGAAAATTTTTTTTAAATTATATTTAAATATATTTCTTTATTTTATTTTAATGTTAAAAATGTGATATAAGAATAAGTCATCTACATAATACTATATGAACGATAATTTTTAGTTAAATATTTAAAGAAATTAAAAATTAAAAGAAATTATTTTTAATAAAAAAATACCAAAATAAAATTGAATTATAAATTAAAAACTCATCTCCCATTTCCTCTTATTATTCT